AGGTATGAGGAAATCGTAGCCCAATCAATGCCAAAGGAACCAATTCCAAGTCCATTCAAGCCTGAGCCCAGTTGTTGAACCGAAATGGACTTAGGAGCCAACCAGCAAACCCAAGAGAGAGATGTCAATGTACTGAAAAGATAGCCTGGAAGGACATAGTATGCAAAGCTGCTGATCAAGACTAGCAGGAAGAATTGGTTAAGAGTAGTTCCACCTTTTGGTCTTTCTTCCTTCTCATGTAGGGCCCTGCAGGTGTAATGGTTGCTCCGTGATAAGGATATATAGGCTAAATATGTAGTCATTGGCGGGTAGATGCGGGAAAGACTTACATGAAAAGTTGTAAGCGAATTTTGTGAAATTTTTTATTTAAAATAATTAAATTAAAACTAAAATTAAAAATCAAAATGATAAATTAAAAGATCTCATTCATAAATTAAATGTGTAGAATTTTAAAAAAATTTAATAAATTTTGATATTTACTTTTTGATAAATATTTTTAGTAAAAATATTGATAGAATTTTTACCGTTGAATAAATATAATCAAATTTAAATTATAAGCAATATTTTTAATAATTTTTTACATATTATATTAATTTTTACATTAAATTTTATCAATCTATCAGTTTATATTTTTTATTAAATCATTTTTTTTAAAATTTACAAAACTTCACCTAAAAACTTTTATGTAAAAAATTTCATGTAAATTTTGTCCTATAGATGCATATTGCATGAAAATGAATACCTGAACAAGGAGACCATGACCAGGTTGCTTGGCCACCACATTTCCCCTGGCTCAACCAGAAATTTCCGGAAAATCCCAGCCCAACCAAACCCCAAAATCTATAATCAAACAAGAAGAGCAACTTCATCACGTTAGATGCAATATAAGTCACAAGTACTTGCTGAACAACCATTTAAACTGCAGAAAATTTCCTTGTTTGGACTTTGGAAAGTTACGAAACATTGACCAAAACAACTTAGGGAAAGAAAAGAAGCAAAATACTATTTATTATTAAATTTAAGGTTAGTGAAATAATACAAGATATTCTCCATTCCAAAAATTTTCATGAAATTTTCATGAAAGATTATGGTATGTCAAGCTAATTAAAGCAATTTTTAAGAGTAACAAAATCGTTTATCAATTCAGAACTTCGTCCAGAAACAAATCCTTCGGAACAGTAAATTGTCAAATGATTCTTCAGATTCTAGAATTGGTGCTATTTTTTTCATACAGGATTTCCTTTGAAAAATTCACCCAAAAAAAATCCAGGAAAAAAAGTATGCAAGTGCAACAATGCATTCCTTATTTGAAGGAAATAGCCTGATAAAAACTTTACTATATGAATATATACAATAATTAATCATAAGAGGATTAGGTATGCTGACTTGTGAGCAGAAGCCAAAAAGATAAAGCACGTGCACAAGAGGAAAAAAGAAAACCTGTGTTGTCATCATAACAAGGAGGGCTGGGAGAAACGTAAGCTCCCTCTTGTAGTAGAGCTTAACCGCACTCAAAATATGAGTGGCATAAACGGTTCCAGCGCCAGAGTTGGCAAATATAGTTATCAGAACATGCTCCTTCATATTGAATGGTCCAGGGTTCAGAGTGAACTCCCATCTGGTATTCTTCAAGAACACGCGAGAAGGCAGCGTTCTGGCCATGAGATGGCCAAGTGGTACGACAGCAATCATGGCAGAAATTGAGGTAATACTCAATGGCATCTTTCTATACCAAAAGAACTGGTTAACAAATGACAGAACAACACATGCACCGAGACCCAAAACCCACATCCTGAAGGTGACAGCAGGCAAGGTTGGATCATCAGTTTTAGGCACTGTTAATTCAACTTGTTTGACAGGGCATTCTTCAACCACCTCGAACTCCATGGCCTCCATCTCAGATATATCCCCCATTCTTTATAATGACAAAGTGATACTAGATGCAATATCGAAAGCAAGAACACGTATAAACAAACCAGATATCAGAGAAGACACATGAAACTTTTAATCATAGAAGAAATAAACAGCAAAGGAGAGAAGGTTGCGGTTGGTAATTGATAAATTTCAGTAAATATATATAGCAAGAAAGCAAGAGTTTTAATTCTGAAATAAGACAATGTGTGTAACCTAAAGTTTCATATGGCAGCCTTGGAATGGTCGAAGCAACACAAAATGTGAATCTAAAAAGGAATAAAAGACTAGGTACAGTGATGTAGTTGGGTATAATTTGCTTCACAAAGCTGTTGGTTTGGCTTTTTCCCGAAAGGGTTTTCTTTTCGGAACAAATCCTATCTATTATGAAGAATTTGTGGCATTGGCCATTGGTGGTAAGTCAGCTACAATGATAGTGGTTTACATGACCCTTTTTCTGGGTTACGGCGACATGAGCCCTGAGATTCCGGGATGATTGGCATGATAAAGATTGAAAAGAAAATTTTTTTTCTTTTAAATATAAGATTAAAATAACTAGGAAGAGAATCTCTCAGAATCTGATCCAATTACTGACCAAAATATTACTTTTCAATGAGATTGATATTTGATACTACTTGCCAAATAGGTCACTATTCTTTTGGACGAAGATTTATTTATTTGTTTATTTATAAATGAGTATTCCAAGTTATTAATTAATAAATTTTAAAAGGAAATCAATAATATTAATGAAAAAAATTTCATTAAACTAATTTTTATGCTTCACTTCATAATAGTTTAATGACCATTAAACAGCATTTAGTCTTTCATTTATTAAAAAAAAAAATCTATACTAAAAGGGAAAGAAAGGGGGATCTCGATTAAAAAAAATTATTAAAAAAATTATTAATAAATGAGGGATCAAAATAAAATTCTCTAGAAGTTTAAGAAACAATAACAAAATAATCTTAAAATATTATATATTTCATTTATGTTTTATAAAATATTAAATTCAAAATTATATTTTTATATTTCTTGTTGTAATATTTTGCTTTAATAGAAAATAGTTTTTTTAAAATTAAAATTAAATTAAAAATTCAAATTCTTTTTTTAAAAACAAAAAATTATTTTTGATTAAAAATATTATTTTACTCATAAATTATAATAAAAATATTATTTTCCATCCATAAATATATTTTATTTTCCTTTTTCAAATATATTTTATAATAAATAAATAAAGAAAAAGATAAAAATAATTCAAGAAAAATTTAATTTATATATTTTTCAAATATATTTATAAAATATTATAATTTAAATAATTTTTAATTTTTATTATGACATGATTTATCAATAAAATAATATTTTTAAAAGAAAATATATAAATTAAAATTAAGTTGAAAATTTCAAAATAATTTTGTTAAAATTATATATCATTTTAAAAAATTAAGTAAAAATTTTTATATCAGTTTAAGAAATTAAATAAAAACTCTATATCATGTTAAAATATTATGTAACAATTTTTAGATCATTTTCAAAAATAGATTTTATTAATATATTAAAAATATAAAAATTTTATATTCATATAAAAAATATAATTTAAAGCATTTTTGTTTTTTTTCTTTTTTATAAAACATATTTCATAAAATATATTTAAAAAAGAAAAATAAAATATATTTAATATTTTAAAAAATAAAATTTTTGGGTAGAAAAATAATATGCTTTATTATGATTTATGAGTAAAAATAATATTTATAATAATTTTTAAAATATATATATTAAATTTAAAAAAACAGGAATTTGGAAATTTGAAATTAATTTTAAGTTTTGAATGTCTATTTTGTATTTAAAATAAAAATCTATGTAATAAGTTATACTTATAACAAAAAATATGTAAATATAATTTTAAATTTAATATTTTTATAAGACATATATAAAATATATAAAATTTTGAAATAATTTCATCTTTTATCTTTAAATTTAAAAAAAATTTATTTTAATTTCTCATATATTATATAAAATGTTAGTTGACGTTATCATTTGATGTCATCACGTGATATTAATTTGCATTTGCTGTCAATTTAAATAATTTTATAAAAGAAAAAATTAAAATAAAATAATTATAAATAATTAAATTTTTGATTAAATTTTTTTTTAGATTCAGAAATCAAAATAAAATTAAAATTAAAATTTAAGGATTATGAGTACTATTAACCTGCTTTATTATTAATTTTCGTAGCTTTCTTAATAAAAAAAATTAAAATCACACCTATTCTCATTTTATCTTTAAAATTTAAAATTTATTGTCATCTCTATAAATAAAAAATCAAATTCCGTGGAATTTAGATGAAATTTGCGTCCGTGTCTAGAAGCAATACCAAAGGAAAAAGACTTCCCAGTTGTTGCTGACAGCTTTCCTTTCCGCTTAATTTTCCACACTGACTTCACATTATTGCAAATTGGAATTTCTTTCCCTTTTTTTTTTTTTGGTAATTTCGTCCGTCATTGCATGCACGAGTATCATGGCCAAAACGACATCAGGCACTCATCGGTACTATGTTACCCCCTCTCTCAAATATTAAGTTAGTACAAGGAATAATTATTAAATTATAATAAAAAATTTAATATGATATTTAAATTTAAAAATTTTTAATATGATATTAATTATAAATTTATTATTTAATATAATACTTAAATAATTATTTATTCGTAATATATTATCATTTAAAATTATCATCACATTAAAAGTAAATACAATATTAATTAATAAATTTCTAATACAAAATTTTAAATTTAAAAATTATTCATAACATTAATTTTTAGTAAAAATAAGACCCATATATAAGAAAAGAGTACAAAATATAACCATAGCTCTGTAATTTAAAACTGAAAAAACATTAAAAAAAAGTTAAAACGTATGATCTTATCAATTAAAATCAAGAATACAACTATATAATTTTACGATTAAAGTAACATCCTTTCTACGGTTTTTCTCATTAATATCAATAAAATGACTAAAATTACAATTGTAATCATTCAAAATTACATATGGTAAAAAAAATTCAAAATTATTGGTCCCTCCAATAATTAATTCTTTTTTTTTTTGCCATTAATAATTTTTAAAAATTTTTAATCTATCCTTAATCCCCTTAGCTAGTATATCTACTTAAGTTAAACGTCTAAATCTTTTTGAATACGTGCTTTCTATAATCTGATCAACATACTTGTGATATGAAGTAATACTTTGTTAGCTTGATAATCCTTGTCCTAACATGCATCACATCTTTTTGACTTTGAGTTCATCAATCCAATGGCAAGTTGCATGTTAGTCTTCGCAATCACATGTTACCAATTAATGACATTACGACTTTAACGATCTCTAAAAGTCTTTATAAACCACTAACACAATCTAGATTCAACTTCAATGAAAATTACAGCAGCGTTTAGGGGTTGCTCTTTGCCAGAGCTAGGCTGGAGGCAACTAAGAAACAACTCGGTTTTATGTTTCCAGAAGCTATAATATGCCTAATAAATGCTACTTTTCTATGAAAGTTTAGATATGGGTGGCTGCAGATCTCCCAAGACTGTTTGATAGAAAAAATCGCAAAGTAATGTCCCCAACTGACAAGGAACCCTTGAAGAAACAAAAAATTCTAGTCAAAGAAGAGCCACAATCATGGCATGTTGGAGTCCTCTTACGTGATTCAAGATGTAAAGAGGGCATTCCACTCCGAAAGCATTTTTAAAGTATTGTCATGAACTAACATTTGTGTGACCAAGTTCAAATTCTCACCAATTTCAGTTCAGTAGATCATACCAGCAACACTAGTGAAAGACCCATAAAATATCACATGCAAAGATCACGGGTCAAACCATCAGTTAGTATGAGTGCATTAAATTTGTATACCACTTCACCTCGTTATTCTCCCCTTCTCTCTACACAATCTCCTGCATTCCATCTTGTCAGTCTTTAAAGAATGTGAATCCTGTGTAGCTGAAACTAAGAAGGCGACATTAACAGTGGGTTGTCTAAAAGCAGGAGAACTTGAGTTGTTATACTAGCTGAATTCAGACACCATCAATGCATCTCCTTTGTAAGCATGGCCAAGTCATATAAGCCACCCAACCCCATCAAGGGGAAGAATATTTGCTTCAGGAGGCAACGGGTTACAAAGAAGGATAATGTAGTTAATGATTGTTCACAGGCCTAACACCCACATATGTTGTCATAAAAATACATTGACAATTAAAAATAGTACTAATTTCTGTATAGATAAAGTATCCATAAACTGAATCTTCAAAAGAGAAGAATATAGTACCATATTTATTCAAAACAGCTAAACAGCTTCATCTGGCAATCTAAAAATAATAATTATCACATCAATAATAACTGCTAGACCCATGCCAAGCTTGAAAATGGACAAAGAACTTAATGACAAAGTCCATGCTGAAATTTACAGTCAAAACTCTGAATCGCAATGTGTTAAGGCTTTTCTTGAGTTACTAACTACAGCCTACAGGAAAGGGCTACGATCAAATTTTTTATGGGTGGCAAAGGCAAATGCTTGCCGTCTCCCTTCCCAAATATAAATGGGAAAACACAATCCCTTGTTAAGAAGATTGTTCTTCATAAATCAGAGGCAGAAAAGGTTCTCATTTTATTTTCTTTATTTTATTCTTTAATTTTTTTTTCAAACTTCATACAAGGAGAGATGGGAACCAAACTGCAGAAAAATTTTGAGAAAAATGAACACACATGAATAATAGCACCTTTATGTATGACACCTATTTCACTGCACGTCCATTGTTAATCAAATATTTCCAAAAGATGACTCCTAATTGCAAATATAGATAAGTTTAGAAGCATTAGGTGAAATGCATACGAAGATATTCCAAATAATTAAAACCAAATACAGTACACTCTCAAATCTCTAGCGAATGCCCCGGAATTATCCAAAACTACACAATTCAAGTTCATCCTAAGGAAAGTGAATACTCAGAGACTGGTGTAATTCTCGAAACCACAAGGCTGTCGTACCATCCCTCATTATCATAACCTCCCAAATTCGCGCAAATCCTACAGAGAAGTGTCGTTCCATGATTAAGCGTCATTAATTGTTTTATAATGAAGTTTCTTACAACACCCAACGGCCATGAATAATAAAAGGTCGAGCGGATAAAGTAAGCATCAATCACCTGCGAATCGCACAATTCAACGCTTGCCACGATGCCCGCCACCTGACCTTGCACCAGGGTAGCGAGCAAATTGCAACCTTAATTTGACCGAGTCTCGGTCATCTTCATCGAATTTATAACCTGCAAAATCGAGCTTAACTATTTATACTGTACACTTACCGCACTTTGAACGAGCGAATAGGGTTTCACGATTCACATGCGATATGACGTGAGCCATTACCTCTAGTACAAATTTCATCGGACAAACGTTTACTTTCTCAGAATCCTAACTACCATACATGGATCCAGCAAATATTTCCCATATCAATGAATGGCAACAATGGAATAAGACTCGAGAAAGACATCCAGCTTTCAGAAGGCTAACAACCAGGGCTTTATTTTCTACCTAAAATAGATATGGCAAAACTGAAAATATTATGCCTCAAACTGTTTTTTTCCCACTTAATTTTATAATGTGGTCTCAACATGGCAAGGGAAATAGGAAAAGGTGAGAAGAGGCCCACAACAAATGAATATATTAACCGCATTATTAGCAAGACCGCACAGGGTAAAGCTTACAAGAAAGATTGTTAGTTAGGGTCCCAGTTAGTCAAGCGGCCGGTCTTAAGGAACAGTTAAGCTTTTAGACTGATGAAGCACAAAGTCTAAGTAAGGTGCAGAATTTAGGAGGATCTAACCAACGCAGGAGGCAAGTCTACTCAATTTGCTTGCAAATTTCTAGCAGTGTATTTTCCAGTATCACATAAAGTGAAGAAATTCAATATCAATGCGAAATGAACTGAAAGATCCCTCCAAAACATCCATAAGCACATGGGCAGAGTAGAACGTGAACGCATTGACTATCCTGTTCTCCTCTTTAATTGCTCATATAAAGTGTTTTTTGAAATATGTCCTCGAAATCGCAGGCCATCAAACTTACATTTTAACGAGTTATGACTTATGAGAAAATTTTGGAATTAAACAAATTAAATAACCATAAAAAGCTCAAAGGGTATAAATTCATAGGTTGTACCTTTTGAGTTTGTCCAGAGACAGAAAAACCCCAACCGCCCTCCCAAAAAAATGAATGAAAGAAGGAAACCAAAGATTTGTTATAGAATAATGATGAATGAGATTTTTTGCTTAACTCTACCCTTCATAGCATGTATGTTGTTGATTTTATATTTTGAACCTTTTCCTAGGATTGTGACTTTCTATGCAAATGAAACAAGCAGACATAAACCAGTAGGCAGAATGGGCATAACTGATCCAATTAAATCCTCAAGTGGTCAAGCAGCCATTCCTTAGAAAAGGAAACTTGGTAAAATCTTCTCAATTCTTATCCCCATCACCCCCCGCAAGAATTGAATCTTTCTCTAAAGCCCCACTTGGAGGAAAATGGAAAAAGGAAAAAGACAGAAGGAGGCGGAATAAAACAGGGTATTATTGGAAGGTGGCATTTGCCTGCTTGCCCCTATTCTATTTTTCACTAGTACTTGCATGGGTGTTTTGGAGTGTCAGTACCTTTCTTTATGTCATAAAAAACAACAGCCATGAAATATAACCAATTTGCTAGGCAAATTACACGAGACTGAAAAACCCTTGTCAAGCTAACCTTGCAATGCATCCATGGCAGTAGCGGCATGAGCAGGGCTTACAAAATCAACAAAACAAAGTATCAGTGGATCTCCTCCATGCTGCACAAATCATGAATTATTATCAATGTACTTGATATTTACTCTGCAGTCAAAACAAAAAATAAATAAATAAATAAACTTACATGTCTTGATTCCTTGCTTACAAGTCTCACTTCCTTGTACCCAACAAATGGGCGAAAAATATCTGTCAACTGAGGTGAAGGCATAAAAACTAAATGGGAAAATTGAAAAAAAAATGCCAAAGTAAAATTACAACAAATGAAAGGATACGAGAAACTTCTCGGCGTGTACAGTCAGAAGGCAAACCCTCCACAAACAATGTGCTGGATGCATCAGGAGGAAGGGGAGGCTCAGGCCTTCCACCGCCAAATCCTAAGGTCCTATCTTTTATTGTTTGTCCATGATCAACACTGCCAATAGCCACCATGCGGGGATCGTCAACAGAACGGCCAGGCATTCCTCCACTCATTGGTCTAGCAGATTGACTCCCACTATATGATGACAGTTGCTGGAAGGTTGCTTTTATTCATTAGCTTTACTAATATAATCATGGAGAGAATGAAAACTTTGGACCTTAAGCATGAAAAAAAAAACTAGTTTAATACCGTGCTGCGAAGGTAACGATCATAAGATGCTCCAATGGAGTCACTATCTCTGATTGCCCGCATTGCTCCCCTATCATCCTCCCGGGAATAATAACTAGAAAGCTCATGGCCACCAGAAACATCTACAAGAATAATCACACCAGCAATCAGCAGGCAACCATCAAGTAAAGAAGAAGGGGTAAGATGGATGATTCTAAAGGGAAAAGCACATTAAGACATGAGGAACATCAAAGTGCTACATATAAAGCTATGAATATGTGAACGCAAGTTCTCTTCATCACTAAACCCAGAGTGCTGATCTCCTCAAACTTTTGACAGTTACAATTAGAATAAACTAGTGAATCCGCTAAAAAGGGTTCCAAGAAACAAAAAGGAATGACAAGGTTGCTAGAATTGCCAACAAGAATGATATAAGTATGAAGCATACCGATTAAGCAACATAATCACCAAATAGTTTCAGTATTAAATCTTTCCTCTTTCTGATTAATTGTAAATATCGATTCTTGCCACGTAATGGTGCAAGAAAATGATTAACAAGTTCAGAAAGGAAACTGGTTAAGGATGTATCTCACATAAATTCTTAACCATACAAAGCCACATGCTTGACATTCAATATCAGAACCGACAAGGGAGAAGCATCTGACAGCCGGATAAGTAATGACTTCCAAAGCTGGTTCTTTTACCATAGTACCGACAACGGAGATGACCAAAAGTAATCAAGACGGGCCAACACATGACTCAATGAAACGACATGCACAATCAAAGTCATTTGACCAACCAGTGCCTTTCCAAAGTTTCCGACATTCCTCTATTCTCATGACAGATATCACAAATAATTAAGCTTTTCAGCTCACTGCTTAATTGAATTAGAAACCAAAAGACCTTTTAGCTTCTATATCCATAATTATGCCCAATCTTCCATGCCAAAAATGAACTTAATGCAAATGCAATCACGAAACAGCAAGCGAATTACGCTAATTTTCAGTTATTTTAAGCAAGCAATTACCCATCTTGCAAATATCAATTAAACAGCAAACATTGACATTAACACCCGGAATCACTTCAACTAAGGAAATTTGAATTCAGCTATCCATTAAAAGTTGATGAAGAAAAAAAAAATCAAATTTTTAGCTTTGAACAACATAAACGCATATCAGCACCAAACGATTTTCCATTTCTTCACCTATGGGTTTCTCTTTGACCAAACAGAGGTTAAAATTGTGATGTGGGAAAAAAATAAGAAACCCTAAATTGAGCAGATATTAACAGAAAACGTATAGCTTAAAATTAATGAAAAGGTGAAATTGAAAGAGAGAGAAGAAACTTATTTACCGTAATCGGAGCGAGGGCGTTTGCCGACAAGAGGAGGGATGGAGGAGGGCTGAGGTTGGCGAGAGTCGCTATACCTCCAATAAGAATCCGCCATACCTCTTTATCTTGTAGCTAAGATAAAAAGAGAGATAAAGAAGAAAAGTTCGATAAGATCAGGAAGGTGAAAAGCAAGGAAGAAATTTGAAGAAGAAGAAGACGGAACAGAGGAGTTTAGGGTACAAAGAGGAAATGTGTCAGTCGATCAGGCAAAGGCCTAGTAACGCTCTCCTCTTTTCTTTTGTCTGCTCTTTCATGATTGCTCCTTATATTTCCTTCTCTATTTCTCCATTGTTTTTTGTCTTTGTAATTGTAATAAAAATTAAAACCCCAAAAACACTTTTTTCTGAAAAAAAAAAAGTAATCGAGATTTTTATTTTAATTTTTTTACAAAAAAATCTAAAAATAAAAAAAATTATTAAATTTAAAATTTAAATCTCATCATTAAAATTAATTTAATAAACAGATACAATCTAAGAATAAAATTTTTCTTTTATAAAAAATCAAATCATAAAAATAAAAAAATTTGAAATTAAAATTTAAACTTCAAATTTATTTAATATCATCAAAAATAACTATATAAATCAATTAAATTAAATCATATATATTTATGAATTTATTATGTTAAAAAATTAAATTTAAAAAAGTTATTTTTTTATTTGATAAAATATTACTTTCATAATTAATTATTACTTAATAATTAAATTATCATAATTAAATAATTATTTTATATAAGTAAATTATAATTAATAAATAATCAATTAATAAACTATAACACAAATCAACAATCCAACCCATCATTTTTTATTTTCATCATTTTCTCTCTCTCAACTTTGAGAGCTTCTCTTTCTAAAAATCCAAGAGCCAGCCAAAACTCAAGCTAGCCCAGATTTCAGCCATCAATCGCCGTCTACCGGCTTCGACCACCGATTGTCGTTGTTAGGAATTATCCCGAAAAGCACCAAAAATTTTTTTATCTCCTTTTATTTCTTTCTATCCCATTATTTTTTGCAAAAAAAAGGCCCAAAAAACCTTAGATCTAAAAGCCAAAATTGAAAATTTCCACCGTCGAAACCTGCCGTTTCCTTTCTTGCCGATTCTTTTTTTTGTAAAATTTTGTTGAACTATTGATTATTGTTGTGCCTTTGTGTTGCTGTTTTTGTATTATCGGGTCTTCGGATATTGTTTGGATTTTGTTCCGGTGGTGTTGGTAATTGATGCCGGCATAGCTGGTTTGTGTATGAGGGGTTGTTGATTTGGTTACTGGTGTCTCAAAATGTTTAAAATCTCTTTAAGAAATTAAACAATTTCCTTTATGTACCCAAGACGAGTGTTAGCAAAAATATATGTAGGTTAGATATTTTAAAAGGTATCTAACAAATCTATAATTGGTTCAATCGTAAGAGCGTTGTTTTTAATGTGAGTGATTGTAGGTATTAATTTAATTGGTCGCTTTGAGAAAATTTGGAGATAAAAAAATTATTCATTCTCTCGTTAATATCGATAAGATTTAAATTTAAAATTTTTTTATTAAAAAATATGAGTTTTAAACAATTGAGTTAATTATTTGATTTTTTTTGGTTAAAATCATTTATAATTTTTATCTAAGTATGATATATTTTATTTTGATATAAAATATTAAATAATTTATTTATTTTTAAATAAAAAATAATAATGAAGTTTATATTTATTCTCATAATTTATATTTTTAACAATACTATTAATTCAAAGATGGTTGTGGGATTGGTTAAGATGTTTCTTGTTCATAAAGTTTACTTAGTTGACAAAGTTAATTGGCCTATAAGTATAAAGTAGGACTTTAAAATTATAATTTATATAATGTGGAGATAGACTCGTGGAGATGTGAAGGAAATTTGGAGAAAATTCTTATTTATATAGCATTAAATATATTCCATGTGTTTATTTGTTTATTGATTATTTTGTATTTTTTATAATTTTTATAATTATAATCTTTACAATTATAGTGAGGTTTTTCTCTTGTTCTTTATATAGGTAATTGGATTAAATTCCCTTATGCTTTAATTCTCAAATTTTTTTTTAAGATTAGACAAAATAAAAATAAAATAAATTTTTTTTTTCGATTTTCTTATTTTTATATTAACATTTCTTTAGGGTTTTGGCGATATGAACCATCTTAGAACATAATTAATTGAACGCACCAAATTTCGAGGCTTTATGACTAAATTAAATTGCCATTAATAGTCTTACAAATATAATACTACTAAAAAGATACGGTAGATCTAGCATTTTAAGGAAATAAACGAAAGAAATAGTAATCAATAGCAGCGTGACATATTAACAAAATGTTAAAATTTTAAATTTAAATAATTATTTTAAAATTTGATAATATTAAATATAAAAAAGAACTAGTAAATACTCTTATTAAAACAAAAATCATCTCATACTTTGTAAGTAAAATTTTTAGATTTTTAAAAAATAATATGATAATACATATTTTAAAAATATAATAAAAAAATTAAAAATTAAAATATATATCAATTTTTTTAATTTTCTTATAAAATTTAAAAATTTTACTATCTTATTAAAATGGATACATAAAAAAAAAAAAAAAGAAATAGTAGCAAATGATAAAATGATAAGTAGTAATGGTAATTAAAAAAAAAAATAACAGAACAAAACTCTACAGAAGATTGACTTTGGAAAGACAAGGGAGGCTGGCTGGAAGGGAATGTAAACAAGTAAATTTCCCGGAAGGATAGCCTTAACTTCACGCGACTTTGTGAAGTCTCAACAACACGAAGAGTGTTTAAGTTTGAAGCAAGGAAAGCGAACCCACTTCAAACAACAACAGTCCAATCTCCTTAGCCAGTAGGAACTGACGTTACATGCGCACATCAAGCTCTACTTTCGGCGCGTGTGCGCACCTACTACCCCATTTCTTCAACAACAAACAGTCTAACCTTTACTCAAGAATATTTTCAGAAAACAAGAAAAATCTCAAAATCCTCTCTTTTTTTAATCTCTCTCTCTTCTCAATACCCATTATTCTTCAATGAACACCAACTGTTACTCTGAAAGGTCAGGTTAGTATTATTGAGTAAACAGTGAAAATTCTAGTTTTCAAGCAAAGAATTTGGAAATTCTCAGATTTTCAAAATCAAGAAACGAAAAAGAGAAAGATCCTTCTTTTCTTTTTGGCTATTGACTTCATGTTTCGATTTTACAGCTCACATCCTCATCCATTTCAATTAGTATAATAGAATTGAATTAGTCAATGGGATTTCCTCTATTATTTTATTTCTTTTTTTTTTTACTTCAAACTTTTCTGTTTGTTATTTCTTATTTCTTTTTAGTTTATTAATGACATCCTGTTGCTATTATTGATACCGATCTTGTCTTTATCACACCCATTGTTTAATCAGAATTTGTAGTATCTTATATGGAATTTTTGCTTTCCTTGGAACCCACTTTTGGTTTAATCTTGCGCGCAAATACTTTTAATTTAGTGTTTTAGGTGAAGAGTTTCATATTTTCTTCTCTTTTCTTGTTCATGTTTTGATCACATAGACTGGTACAGTGAATTCTTTTTTTTTTTTTTCTTTAACTTGGTTAACTGTTTTCTGGTTTTGATTTGATATTCCTTTTTTCCCCTTTCCTGGGTGTGTTTCTTTTGTCAGTAGGGAGGGTATTAGAGCCTGAAAACTGTTGATCAATGGCTGAATCCTTCGGTTCAGGATTGTACAGCTGCTTTAATTGTCGAAATCGTGTTTCTCTCCATGACGATATAATTTCCAAAGATTTTCAGGTAAAGCGTAAAGATCCTGAAATTTTCTTTTGAAATTTACTAGCACCTTACCTTTTACGTGGTAGTTTCAGATTTTTAAATTGAGCATAGATTTTTCTGCATATGATCATTGGATTATGCTAAAGACTTCATACACAATGAGAATTATGATCATTGGATTGAAACACTTCATAAATAGTCAGAACCAGGGTGGAAATTAAAGTCCTTATCTTGAGAGTAATGATCGACTGATCAAGTAATATTGGAAGTTTTGCACTTGTTTATGTTAGTCTTGGACCATAACTCGTGTATATCTTGTGTAGAGTGAACACAATTCCGAAAAATTGCATCATCTTATATCAACAATGAATTGAATTGAATGTTACAGAATTTAAATTAATCTCAATTTTCACGGTGATAAATGATCTTAGGGGACTTCTGTCCAACGTTCTTTTCCATAATTTTGTTCTTAGGGAAGAAATGGCCGGGCATTTTTGTTCTCCCACGCAGTGAATATAACAGTAGGACCAAAAGAAGACAGGCATCTCTTAACTGGTCTCCACACCGTTGCTGATATCTATTGTGCCGATTGCCATGAGGTGTTAGGCTGGAAATATGAGCGAGCTTACGAGGCATCACAGAAGTACAAGGAAGGGAAATTTATACTTGAGAAGGCAAAGATTGTTAAGGAAAACTGGTAGCAGCTGCACAGTTTAAGGGTCTAATTCCATTTATTTCTGTGTTGATGTAATTTTATCAATGCTTCATTTTCATCTTGTACAGAAACTTGTAGCCCATTGGAAATTTGTCATTGTTTCCCACCATGCATTCTTAACATGTATGATATACTACATCCAAAGGATGCATGATGGATTGGCAATTCCCATGTTAATAAATTGTGGCATTGTCAACTACTTTCTACGATATTTCACTGTGTAGTATGGATTCAGCATTGTGTAAATAGCTTCGGTTAAAATGGTTGTTACATGAATATTAGACATCATTCCTTTCCTCCTAAATCCTTTGCTGTGGCAGGAAAGCAATTGGTTTTCAAGCTTTAGGAGATGAAACATTTGAGTTTGTTGTTCAGATGAGTTAGGTGGATTGGTTTGGATAGTGAGATGCCAGTGTAGCTGCAGGCTGATAGAGTTTGGCATATATTTGAGAAATATGTAATCGGTTGAGTGTCGTATTAGACTTGTATCATTTCATAGTCTGCCATGTCAATGTGAGCTCAATGTTTAGAATGTAACGGGACAATGAACCATTTGCATTCTGCAGTTAAACTTATTGTATCCTTCAGTTTGAATGCTGTTGTCGCTTCAATTTGTCTCGTGTAGAATTATCCTGGAACCTAAGAACCATCATAGAACAGACATTGAACTGAGAAACAGTAATCCAAAATAGGGATTGGATCATTTTTCCAAGTTTATGTATAACAAGACACAGAAAGTTATTGGTTCCCCGCGATTTTGGTTTTCCTGCTGGAAAGATAGAGAAAATAACCAGTCAAAGGTTTTTTCCCATATTTTCTTCAATCTAGTTTTCCTCCATTTTTTCCCTCTTTACCCAACACAAGAATTTTATTTTCTTTTCCACCCAAAATTCCCTAAACCAAACAGCACTTGAGATTGTGTCCATTGTCCAATTCGATAGAGAAAACAGTATTAAAAAAACGAAAAAAAGAACATGTACGAACTTGAAAGAAGAAATATGGAGCAAGCAAACAGATTCCAACGAATTTCTGTCTCCATCATCGTCATCGCCAAGGAACCCAGAATCAGAAGCAGCATCGGCTGCTGCAACGAGTGCGGTTGGAGAACTAGTTAACTCTCTCAACGAGCAACGAATCTTCAGAGAAGTCACACTCGCTCTCCGCGCTGGTCTCTGTGATGCCCGCAGAGTTCTCTCTCCTCCGTGTCCGTGGCCTCCATTGCCTCCTCAAATCCCTCCGATCCCTAGCCCAGTCTGAGTCCTCCATCTTCTCTTTTCCCACACCCAATCCATCCTCGACCTCCAAGGTTCATAATTTGTAAATACCATTTTTAAAAATCTCTGGGTTTTTTTTTTCTTTTTTTAATTTGTGTGAAATTTGGATCTTTTGGGTGCAGTGGTTCCAGTGTCGTTTGAGCATTCATTGAAGGAAAATGAGGATGACATAGCGGGAAGCTTGGATCATATGTTCAGTTTGGAGCCAATGAAGATTAACAGTCCTTCCACGGATGCGGAAGTTGCTATTGCGTCTTGGAAGGTTGCTGTCTACTTCACCTGGAAAGCACTCGTTTGGCCCATCAACACAAAGCAATCCCGGTGATTCTATATATACTTCTAAGAAAGTGTATTTAGATTTGTGCTTCTATAGAAAGATGACTTGAATTAATGACTGACAGTTCTCTTGTTGATGGAAAATGGGAAGAGGGATTGAAAAGTGACATTGGATGTCATTGTGGAATATAGCATAAGCATGGTACATTGTGTCAAAACAAAACAAATTGGTTGCTGTTTCACAGCAGCAATTTGCCTGCATTTAGCCAAATATTTTGAGGAATACAAATATCAATATTGAATGTAATCTTTGAGTATTTGATGTGATGCAGGTTTTGATGAATGTGGTATCAACTCGAGGTGTTCTTGAACAAGGTGCATACCTGGATTCTTTTATCTCAATAATGTTGTTTCCTCAGCCAATCAAATGGTATTTCTTTTTTTCTATCTTTGGTTGTGCTAATGTATTACTTAGCAAAATTCACTAATATTTTAGTTTAAATTTATAGTCTAGTTAGTTTCATTTCAAAATTTATTTTTTGGCTGCCAATTTTTATTAATAGCTCTCTATACTGATGCTAATGCTACTGACCTTTTTTACTGCATCATCATGGTTGCATAACCTTGAAATCTGTTTCAGCTTGTTTGGTTTGTAAATTCATCATGCCATTCTTAATGCATTTCCATCTTAGTCCTTAAAGAAGTTTAGCTGTCAAAGACGGTGTTTAGCTCCATCAATAGTATATTTGAATGAAAGCAAAAATGTTCTTTTATAGCCTTTTGGTTTTTAGGGGAATAGAAGAAAAAACACCCAACTTCACTTCTTTCCCCCTCAATTGTGGCTCTTTTAATGATGAAGATATAAGATGCCAGTTCTCTCCTGTGCTTTTTCAGCTTTCATACAAGTAACAGGGATTGCTGAGTTCCTGCCATTTGACAAGATTAACCCTATCGGCTTCTAAGAAGTTAATGGTTTTCTCAAATATTTATTTAATAGTCCATCAAAATCCTCTCTGATCTGCAATTAAAAAGCTTCTTGAAAGGATGTTCCTTAAAGGAAGAATAATTTGTAATAGCCATTGTAATTAGATGTTTAGATTTGCAACAGTCCTTCCACCATTTCCATCTCATAGGTCTTCCCAGAAACTATAGGTCATGGAAACCTAGTTTTGCCACTAAAACAGAAAAAGTTTCATGAGGACTGGAAACATTCAGGTTAACTGGACATGAGAACAGCATCATTAATCCCTGAAGTTGAGCAGAGGTTTTTTTCTAAACTATGTAGCCAAAGAAAGGCTCCCCATGACTTTTTCGCTTGATTTCTGGTAATGATTCTTTCACATGTCCATTCTATCCGATGTATGCATGCATAATGTTTTTGCTATTATTCCCTAGAATTTTGAAGCATGTAATGCCATTGATGAAGTTGCAGAGCTGGTACGAGACAACCAAGTGGATGAAAATCTCAGGTACTTGAAAATAGTAGCTGGGATATTTATTTCAACGCCTTGTTCTTATTTTCTAATGCTCCTGTTTATTTCCTACTATGTCTATATCCTATGTGGTAAACCCAATGAAAATGAATTAGGAAATGTATTATTTTCTCAATGAAGTTTTCCTGTTTATATGTGTAGAAGAAACTGATCTCCAAATACTTATTTGTCTTTTTAATGCTATGCCATGTCTCACTAATTCAGTTTTACTGAAAAAGAAAGACCATTCTGCTGATCAGGTTGAAATGCGGAGAGTTCTTGCTTCTACTCACTGGACATGTAAATGGGAGGGAAAGGTCTCCCATGGCAACCATTCATGAAGACGTAAGAAAACTTTTCCGTGAAAAATGTGCTTCCTTTATATGGGCCGCAAGTCAATACGGCTGAACTCTTGATTCAGACCAGAGACTGACAGCTCTTCATATCCAAGCCCGAAGGGTTCTGGATTTAGGAGATGCAAAGATTTTATTATGGAACCAACACTCTGTTTGTTGTTAGTGAGTGCTAGTTATGTTAAGGGAGTACATTTTTTTTTCAAAGAATCATTCGGACATGCCTTGTGAAAATACATTTTTAAGGACATATTTGATGATTCATATGCTTTGTTATTCGTGATTTAGAACGAAAATAATCACGAAAAACCATATAAGCAGGCAAAGGCATGCATATTCTTGTATTTCATGGGTGAAAGTTGATACCTCCAGCAATCATAATAAACAGTAAAAAGGAAGCGAAAAAACTGGTAAAACGTACATAAATTCTAATCATCACCTACACTCTTAGAGAGGCTGATTCCGAATGTTTGAAAATCTTGTCCCATCCATTGATTCATGACAGCAAAAGAAAACCATCCCAAGGAAACAAAAATGATACACAGTTTGATATTGACATGCCCAAGTTTGGCAAGAAATTAAGAGACCTCAATAATGGGGTCGGAGATGGTGACTGGCGAACCTCAATTCACGGCTTTGAAACTCCCTTAAGTGGTTAACACGCTGGACCAAAAAATATAATTCAATTTGTCTTTGAGAGTCTAAGGCTACATCTCTACTAATGCTATACTACCATAAAATATATAGTTACATAAATCATGGAATCCATAGCCATATGACCATATGTATATCTCTGAATTGATTTTGCTAGGGTGCAGGAGATTATTCCTGAGCATAGCTCCCAATGAGAATGTTTGTGGGTCTCACACCATGACCGGAGATTGGAATGCTAGTGAAGCAAAGAGTTTCTTTGTCTTCGATACTACTAGTAAAGAAAATGAAATATGTTAATGAAAATTTCATGCAATTGGAGCACATTCCTATACCAGCGTCGTCCAACCCTGACTCCGAGTGACCAAAACAAAGCAACCATGATATACAAAACCAGAAAAACAAAAACTTAGCCTACGCTTGAAACCTAACTCGTTTGATTATTTAAGTAATCTAGATCCTTAATCTAAATTTATTTAAATATTAATTATATCTTGAAATCATTCACAATAAGTGTAGGAATTAAACTTAATTATCCCCAAGCAAGCTGTTAATTTAAAAGAAAAAGTTATGTACCAAGAAAAAAGAAAAGGAGAACGTAGTAGTAAGTGGAATAGCATGTGCAGGTATTGCTGATATGGGGTCATACCTAATAAGTAATTCATTCTGGCTTATTCCTTCTCAAGATAGCACACTTGCTTATGAAGGTTTGCTTTTAAACGTGGTTGGAAGAATCTCTCAAGACCCAGATGGTGCTGATAAAGACCCGACACTTGTGACCTGTTGCCAAGCAAAAAGAGAAAAGGAAAAAAGAGAGAAAGAGAACGCATGCTGCGAAGGATTGATGCCCATCATTCCAACTCACCCTACCAAATCCCAATGTTAAATTAAAATTAACAAATTTGATTCAACCAAAATCACTATATGTTCATCAAACTGCTAACATGCTTTTTTCTTTTTTTTGAACTTTGGTTACCAAACAGCATGGAACATTTATTAGAAAATCAACAACATAAGACACCGGAGAGAGGATCCCTGATTCCTGAATCACACCCCAAGCTGTGGTGAAAAATTACATGTGAACCAAATTAACAGTGCAACTGTGAGCAATGCAACCCCAAGAGGCAGCAAGTAGCCAAGAACTCTAGTTTCTCTCGTCTTATAGCTGGAAGCTCTCAAAAGAAAGGAGAAAAAAATTCTTTTCACAGTCCTCTGCTGCTTTCTATTTATGGACAGCATTTAGCGTCAACCTTTTGAAGCCGATCTAAAAAGAAGCTTCAAACACCCACACTGATCAAAGAGTAGCGAAAGGTACTACAACATTACAAGTAAAAGGGAAAGTAGCAATAGGATAAAGTTGAAAGAAAGACTGAAGCCCATGTACCCTCACCGTTAGTAATCAAACATCAAACTAGTCACCGACCATGAAAGAAGAAAAGCGGAAAAAACACCAACTTCGTCCTGTTTAACCATATTGTTAAATTTGGCTGTTCATTTCACCAATGTCCCCGGCTCAACATTCCATTCCAATATCCAGTTGATTCTCCTTGGCCTCTATTCTGCTCCAATTCTTTAGTAGTGCTTGGAACCTGCTTCAGTTCCTCCATTGGAAACAAAAGCCTTGCACCACTTTCTTGTACGCCTTGAAGATTCACACGGCCAGTTTGAAATCCATCAAGAGGAAAATTGAGAGTCGGTTTGAAGTCTTGCACTGCAAACCCACTTGAGTACACTGTGTCTGAATCAGAAAGGGGCATCGACATGAATGAACTCATACCTCTTGAATTAATACCAGTCTTCAGCAGCTCCATGGCATTGAGATGACCCGAAGTTGAGGAGGAGCTAGGGTTCTGGTGGTTGCTGTTGTTACCAGTGTTAAAGGACACCTCTACGAATTTTGACAAGCTATTGTAGTCTTCAGCTGGCGGTGGATAAGCTAGGTTAAGGTCTTGACCTTCATGGATCTTAGGGTTTTGAGAAGTAGAATGAGGAAGACCAGGTGGGGTCAGATCACCAAGCTTCTTTGATGAAGATCTCTTGTTCTTCCTTGAACCTCCTCCAACAGGAACATTCCTTAGGGAACCACCTTCCGTCCAATACCTTCGACAAGTCTTGCAGAAGTATCTTGGCTGAGAAAGACTGTAGTTATTATAATAACAAAATTTGGTGTTAGTTGAATTGCACCTGGGACAGTTCAAAGCTTGATCCTTCTGAGGCCTAGCCCTTCTCTCCACCATAGGTCTTGAAGCTTCCATGTGCTCAACTACCCCAATTCCCTGAAATTTTTAAAAAGAGAAGTGAAAAAGAAACAAAAGACAGGAAAAAGCATTACTTCGTGATCAAAGAAAAGTGATTCTCTCTCACAAAATAAATTGTTTGACAAAGATGAAACAACAAACAAACAAGATAGAGAAAAACAAAGGAGGCTGCTTTGCACTTTGAAGATTACACCAGCATTAAAAACAAATAATAATAGTAACTTTTTCCCGAGTCCTTTCATCAGATGGTGGATAAAAAAAGAAAAAAAAGTGCAGTACTTTCGGGAAAAAATGAAGATGTTAAACAACTGCAACATAAATTCAAACTATTAGTGGGGGCTGAACAACATCATCTCATGGCCAAAAAGTGGAACTTTAAAGCAAGTAATCAACGAGAGACGGGAAAAAAGAACTCAAAACCCAAAGCTACATACTACTAATTAGCTTTGAAAGCCTCAACTCAGAAAAAAAATCATGATCTAAAACAGCAAAGAAAAGGCCCTCTTTATTACCTGTGGCCACTGAGCGGTATCCATGGCTTAAGAGTGAGAAAAAAGGGGGAGGGGGGAAGCTATGGAGTCTTCAATGAAAAGAAAATCACCTACTGTGCTAGGAAGTTGGTCTTAAAGCCAAAAGAAAAAAAGATGGAACACTTTAGAGATGGCATTTGTGGTGGTTGTTCCATGTGTTGGCCTACTACTACTAATATAGAATGAAAGAGACAGAAAGAGAGGGCAAACTTGAAACAGGGACAAACTTGTCTTTCTGTTGTTATTTCATTCATCATAGAATATACATTCTACATATAGGAAATTTCTGTACATTGTATAGATGTTTTTTTCCAATAATAATGATCTTAAATTCATGCAATTGCCAATCACTCAATCATGCTCCTTGTTGGGGTGAGGGTTAGGGTGAGGGTTAGGCTAGTGAGTCTTCACTGTAGACTTTAGTCGGTTCTTTTCTGACCAGATAAAGGATTCTTCTCTCATTCTCTTTTCATTACTTTATTATTATTACCTTTCAGTATTTTTTTAGATTTTTTCTTTTTTTATTTCAACTTTAAAGTCTTTTTCTTGGAAAGAGGGATGAGAGAGTTGAAAGAGAACAAGTTTAGGTAAACTCGTATACGAGTGTGATCATCGGTTTGCTCCAAACCTCTCCAAAGTTAACAGAATTTTTATGAGTTTTATGGGTTTATGTTTGTTTATTAAATTTAATAAATAATTTTAAATAATATTTTTATATTTATTTATTAAATAAATTGAACCCAAATAAAAAAAGTATTTAATTTTTTATATTTGTAGATAAATTCGTTTAAAAATTATTTATTTAAATTTATTTATTTATTTATTATTTTTAATTTTATAATTATATATTTATTTAAATTTATTTGATTATAATTTATTTATTCGTAAACATATTTATTTAACTTAAATAAATTGAATACAAATTAAATATAAACATTTAACTATTTAAATGAATCAAATAAACCATTTTTTTATTATAAACAACTCTAAAAATAAAATAAATAAATCACTAATATACATTCATTCAATCATATTTAATTCTTTTACAACTCTTAAAAATTAACAAATAAATCATTGAACATGAAGCTTTTATTATGTGCTAACCAATGATATATATATATATATATATGCATAAATTAAAAATGATTACTAATAACATCTCAAAAATCAATTAGAGAGTGTTTAGTTTGGGAGAATTCACATATTTTCTCATAAAATGTTACTATTAGGTATTTGATTATAACGTTTAATTCAAGATAATTTGATTGTGGAGAAATATTCTCAATAGTATCAAAAATCCCGAATCAAAAAGTCACATCTCCTTGTAGTATTATAAAATTCCAAATGAGAAAGTAGCATTTTTCTTTTTAATTTGACATAACTAAAAAATTATGAAATAATCGTTACTATTTTGAAAAACATGTTTGCAATTGAATGAAAATTAATTGTAAGTTTATGTTGGTAAAAAAATTAGTTTATATATGACATTTAGCATGAAAAACGTATTCAATAATTCTTTATAAAAAATTGAATGAAGCTATTTAAGACATTTTTAGTCAAAAACGTCTTGAATAATTTTCAAAAAATTTATAAAAAGATTATTTAAGATGTTTTTGACCATAAACACCTTTAATAACCTCCATTCAATTTTTTTTAAGAGATTATTTAAGATATTTTAGGCAAAACAAATGCCTTTAATAATCCATTGTCAATTTTTTTAAGATTATTTGATGTGTTTTTGTCCAGAAATACCTTGAATAATTTCTTACAAAAAAATTATTAGAGGTTATTTAAGACGTTTCTAGCCAAAAATACCTTTAATAATCCACTTCAATTTTTATGAGATGATTATTGAAGGCGTTTTTTACCAGAATCATCTTAAATAACCCCATTAAATTTTTGGTAAAAGAATATTTAAGGCGTTTTCTGATAAAAATACCTTAAATAATCATATCTAATATTATTAAAGACGTTTTTTACCAAAAAAATACATTGAATAATCCACTAATAAAAATTAAAGAAGATTATTCAAGATATTTTTGGTTAAAAATACCTTCAATAATCTCATTCAATTTTTTGTGAGAGATTATTTAAGAGATTTTCTAGGCAAAAATGCCTTAAATTGAATAAGATTATTGAAAGCATTTTTTAGCAAAAATGCTTTAAATAATCACGTCATAGAATTTGAAAAGGATTATTGAAGGTGTTTTTAACCAAAAACGTCTTGAATAATCCATTTATAAAATTTTTTTAGGATCCTTAATTAACTCTATTTAAGGCGTTTTCCAAAATAAAATAGGAGAAAATTATTTAATATATTTTTTGAGTAAAAAAATCTTGAATAATCCAAAAAAATTATTGAAAGCGTTTCTAGCCAAAAATAGCTTAAATAATCCTCTTTAATTAAAAATTAGAGGGGATTATTAAAATTTTTTTACTTAAAATGCTTTTAATAATCAACTTAAATTTTTAATTAAATGAGATTATTTAAAGCATTTATAGTCAAAAATATTTTGAATAATCTCAAAAAAAATGAAGGGATTATTGAAAGTATTTTTGGATAAAAATACCTTCAATAATCCTTTCATTTTATTTGAAATAAATTATTTAAAATTTTTTTTTATCATAAACGTATTAAATAATCTCATTCAATTTTTTATAAGTATTATTCCAAACGTTTTCTGACCTTTTAATTTAAAATTAAATTATTTAAATTATCATAATATATATCAATAAAATTATAATAATTATTCATAATTTAAATATATATATTATTTTTAATCAAATAAGTGAATCTGAACACCGAATATCTTGAAAATAAAAAAAAATTTCGAATATCATATTTATTAAAAAATCATATATATTTTTTAATTTATGATTTCACTGACCAAACATCCCGTTACTAACAAATGGCAATGAAAAAAACTTGAAATCAGAACTTAAGTTTAACTCATATGAGTAATCCATTTTTTCTTAGATGGATTTCAGCAAAACTAAAATTCGATATGTTTTCGTGAGTTTTGACTTTTTCGTACGGGCAAAAACTAAAAATCCCAAAGCTAAAACGAAAAAAATAAAGAGAATAAGGCAAGGTTAGCTCTTTTATGCTTCATGAAAATTCAAGGCCGATCGAAATTACAAATGTAGCATATCACAGCAAAAAACTAGATTTGAAGAACCTTACGTCGGAGAAGGGCAAAAGGAAAGGTGATAGACAGCCGTGTGCCGCCCAAGCCAAATGGCTGCGGCGGCGAATAGAACTCCATGTCCGCCGGATAGATAGGGGACACGTGGCCTTAAGACACGACACATTCGCTAAAATGAGTCCAGGAGCAGGCGAAACGTGTCATGACGTAAGCCGTTGCTAAGAGAGCGAAGAACAACATTTTTTGGGTTGGTAAGTCAGGGGAGAAGGTGGGTCCCATCGGAAAGCACGTTCTGAAATGGCGAAAAAAAAAATCTGTCAGCCATAGCCGTTGGATGAATATGATATTGATGAAAATAAAATCGCCTTCTAATCAACGGACGTTACGTGATGGGTATTCCACCAGGTCGACGACGCGTCACACGTCAGAGATTCCGCTGCGTTTAATCTTTCTTTTTCACATTCGACTGTTCGTTTTAACATTTGAAACGTGTAAAGCACGAGCTTTTTTTTTTTTCTTTTTTGGCCAGCGACTCGAAGATATGTCATAGGGTTTTTTTTTAAATTCATCTTCAATTAAATTCAGAGGATATAAAAGCGTTTGGGCATCAACAACTTCTCACTGTGAGTTGATTTTCCAATTTTTTTTGTTCTTTAGGTTGTTCAGATGTACCAAACTGATCTTATATAATATAAAAGTGCTGAAAGTATTAATGCATGGATGGGAGAAAGAAGCAAAGTGTAAAATGCGTGAGATATGATGTCAAAGGGGAATGTCGAGTTTTGCTGATTGCTAACAGAGAGATATAAGACAAAGAAGAAAAATTACACTGTGATTACAATGAATATGAGAATGGATACGCTATTGAACATTTGCGTAGCTTTTTAATTCTCCACGATTTCGGATTCCCATACTAGGATAGAACTGATGGAAAGCTAATTGTATACACATGATTGATTGTCCCTGGTTCAAAAATTTTTTTTAAACTCCTTGAAGCCCTTTTCTTTGAGGGGTTAACGTTTGCTCAATGGAGAAATCCAGATTTTCATCCTATCTCTATGTAGTTTTTCTTCTTTTTTCTTTTTCTAAAAGAAATGAGGTTTGGGTTTGACCATTTGAGAACAAAGTATTGGATACTGGCTCAAAAATCATGCCCATTTGTCTACTTTCTACTTAAGTCCTTTGTACTGGGCTTGCTTTGAATGTTGAAACTTTCAAACCAGCAATGGGCCATACTTGTTTTGAGGGACAACATTGTTGTACTTTGGTATCCAATAAGGCTTCAACTTCATGGGCTTTTTCGTACTTAGTGGGCAGTAGGGGTACTCTGAAAGAACGGTCAATGAAAGAGTGAAAAATTAATCTCATCGACGAATGAAATTTGAACAAAGCTCCTCATGTTCAGGTGCTAGATGCTTTATATTGTTCCATCTTTTGAATCATACAAAGAAGTACATGATCTGATATTGAATGTTATGCAGTCGAACAATTTGGACCAGAGCTAATATGTTCAAATCCTTGCTTGCAATTAGAGCTCCAGCTTCTTGATTTCTTCTCAACCGAGCGGACTTAGCAATGTTACTGCTAGGAATAAAGCAACATCCAATTAAAACCCTCCAGTTGGAAGAGATCTAGCAGTTCAAATCACTTTCAGAATTGAAATGTGTTTCAAATAATGATGGTGGTGATGGACATTGGACGGTGAGGACAGTTCAAGTCATGACTCAATACTAAGTTCGTACAGAGAGCAGCAAGGACAGTAAGTCCCCAGAAATCCAGAACACACTCTTCCAACCCTATGAGTTTTGATTAAACCTCAGGACCATCCTATTGATTCAGAAACAAAACCACCAAAAAAAAGTTATTTACTCTAGGGTAGGGTGGTCCAAAAATGAAGGGTATCTAATAAATTTTACAGTAGCCGGCCAAAGCATTCACACGCAGACTGACGAAAGAGTGAGTGGAAGAGAGTTGTGTGCCATC